CCATGTTCCTCTTTTTGGGTCTGGCTTACCTCACTCAGGATGGTGTTTTCTATTTCCATCCATTTGCCTGCAAACTTCAAGAAGTCCTTGTTTTTTACTGCTGAGTAGTACTCTAATATGTATATATTCCATACTCTCTTCATCCATTCTTCAATTGAAGGGCATCTAGGTTGTTTCCAGTTTCTGGCTATTACAAACAATGCTGCTATGAACATAGTAGAGCATATACAGGATTTTATCTCTGGATACTTTGCCAGGATCTCCTGGCGCCGGTCGGTGTGCGGCTGGTCGGTATAGACCCACTGGAACTCCTCTCGGGACAGGCGGCTCCCCAAGGCGGCAGGGCGTGGACCGGCACTCGCTAGGGTTGGGCTCTGCTGAAGCGGCGGTGGCAGCTGGTTTCCCAACTCAAGGTAGGTCAGCCACTGGGAAGCGGGTGGGGGCGGAGCCTCAGACCACGCCCATGGTGACCACGCCCCGCCCGGCGGCCGGGTGATGGATGGGCGGGGCCAGGATTCGAAAGCCAAGAACTTTTCCTGTTCAGGAAGCCTGGGAAAAGGTGAAAAGGGAAGGAAAAGTCTACGGCCCGATTAGGCTGCCGCTTCAGCGCCTCCGTGCGAGGAGCACGGCGGGGGCGGCTACCTCTCCACGAGTCCAGAAGATCACCGGCCTGATTAAATGGCAATGGGCCCAAGTTTCGTTTAATTTTTAATAGCATATTATCCGTTGAGCCATGATTGGTTGCCTTCTAGAAATAAAAGCTCCAGAAAAAATAAAAACTTTTCGATTGCTCTTCTCTCTCTCTCTCTCTCTCTCTCTCTCTCTCTCTCTCTCTCTCCCCTCCCCCAATGTTTGTTGTGTCTACTTTGCCTTTATTTGTTGAAGTAGTGTCTCAGTACCTTGCCTAGGCTGTCCTTCAACTAGAGGTCCTGCTCTTGCCTCCCAGTGGAATTTTAAGCTTGTCTTACCATGGTATCCAGAAAATGGAAGGGAGAGATGGGGTGGAGTTTGTGGCTTTAATGAATCTCTTATACTGATGGTTGCTTAATCATATGTGTGACAGAGTGATCATCCGAAACTTCCTGTGCCGGGGTTGATTTCAAAATGCGTTACCCCTTCTTCTCTAAGGAAGTTTAGGGATTGGAGTTGTAGTGCGGTGCTGGACCACAGGCCAAGTAAGTAGATAGACCAGAGCCAGGAGTAAAAGGAACTGCCAATTAAGACTACAAAAATCAAGCTGGGCGGTGGTGGCATATTTCATCCCAGCATCCCCAGGCAGAGGCAGGCGGATCTCCATGAGTTCCGGCCTGCCCGGTCTACAAAGTGAGTTTCAGGACTGTTACACAAAGAAACATTGTCTCGAAAACAAAAACAAAAACAAAACAAGCAAAACCAAAAAGATTAACAGACTAGATGAGTCTCCCAAAGAAGGCAGGGCACAGGAATATAAACCAGACACAGGGGTACGTTACTGTTTATGCTATACCCTAACAAAAGCGGTCTGGAAACAGACAGCAGTCCAAGGCTGATGAGTCTGTAGCTACAGCTGCTAATGTATAGAAAACTATAAACAGAAGAATCTGCTAAACTACACCACAGGATGCTGTCAGGAAAAGCACAACTCAGTGTTCTCTAATTTAAAAAAAAAAATGGAATGATAAGTTTCCGGGCTTATTATTAGATAAACTAAACAGCTGTGATGCATTGGTCTTATTTGTTCCAAAGGACTAAAAAATGATGTGATATTATTGAAAGACTTATTTTTAGATATACAAACTATATATATATAATGTGTGTATATATGCGTGTATATATAGTATGTGTATGTGTGTATATGTGTGTATATATATAGTGTGTATATGTGTGTATATATAGTGTGTGTATGTGTGTGTATATATAGTGTGTATGTATATATATAGTGTGTGAATATATATATTGTGTGTGTTGCACATGTGTGCACATGAATGCAATTACTTTCAGAGGCCAGAAGAGGGTATCAAATCCCTTGGAACTGGAATTACATGCAGTTGTGAGACACCTACCCCCCATGTGTGATAGGAACTGAACTCTATAAGAGCAGGAAGACACTTTTTTTAACTATCAAAAAATATTTCTTACTAAAAATAAAAGCAACTGAAGTTTATCCCGAGGTACACTGTCAGCACAGGAACACCCATGATGAACTGTGTTAATATCTTCTCAACTGCTGCCATCTTCCACATAGAGTAAGTTTTAGTTTAAGTTAAAAACTCATGATGGGGCTGGAGAGATGGCTCAGCGGTTAGAGCACTGACTGCTCTTCCAGAGGTCCTGAGTTCAATTCCCAGCAACCACATAGTTACTCACCACCACCACCACCATCTGTAAAGAGATCTGGCGCCCTCTTCTGGCCTGCAGGCATACATACAGACAGAACCTTGTATACATAATCAACTCCCTAGTCAACCTGATGACTGAATTGGGTTTCACTCTGATGGAGACTTCAGGTGCTGCCGGTTAGTGTCCACTAAGGACATACGTGTCAGGACCTCTGGCTGGTATGATGACTCAAAGGCTTCATGCTGAAGCTCAAGTAGGTAGAGGGATCCTGGCAGAATGGAATCCTCATGGCCACCATCAAAGGTCTGTGTCTAAAGGGCTTCAAGGCTCACAGCTGCATCATTCCCTGGCAGCTCCTGGAAGAGCCACCCCTTCCTGGCTTTGCCTGCATCAAATTTCACCCACTGCTAACTGCACAGTTTTGAGCTTCCGGACAACTCTGAATCAGGGTGTGGACCGTTGACTGAGAAAACCAGGAAAATGAACACCACATGAAAGTGTCCCGGTTGTGGCACTGATGGCCCTGCACAGTTCTTCATAACAGGCATCTGCAGAAGAGTCGACAGTGGTATTCTGCGGGTCATCTTCAGGAACAATTCACACTGAAGCTGCACACCGCTATTCTCGATCTGACAGGTCCATACACACTTCTGGTCTGGGCACCTCCTGCAGGCATACACTCAAGTACAGCAGTAGCCCACACAGTACAGGACACTCTCATCACGGAAGCCAGGTTGGTTGGTGATGACCACCCCCCGCGGCTATGTACTGTTATACTCCCTCGTCCAAGCGGGGGCACACAAGTCAACTGGTGAGGGATCTGGCACTGGGTTTTGATTCTACTCCATGGCTTTATGGGAACCTAGTCTATTGGGATCCTCACCTTCCTACACCTGGATGGAGCGGGGAGGACCTTGGACTTCCCACAGGGCAGGGAACCCTGAGTGCTCTTTGGACTGGAGAGGAAGAGGGATGGAAGATGGGGGAGGGAGAGGGAAATGGGAGGAGGGGAGGAGGTGAAAATTTGTAATAATAATAATAATAAAATTTAAAAATAAAATGTTACCAGGTAGAGTTACTTTTTGAAAAGCGTTCAGTATACTTTATTCATAAATACCTTTTGCAATAAATTAACCTTAAATGTGTTTAACATCATGTTTCAACTATAATCATAACAGAAAGAGATATAATTAATTAATAGGCATTCAGGTCCTTTATTTTTAAGTGGTGAAAGAAGCCTTAAACTAAAGCTTAGTACCTGTTCACAGGGAACTCTCAGAAACAAAGGTTTGCAGTTGTCAAGGTAGCTCAGCTGGTTAAGTACTTGCTGCTCAAACATAAATCTAAACCCCAGACTCTATATACAAAGCTGACTGTGATGGCATGTGCTTTTAGTTCAAGGGCTGAAATGATGGATGAAGACTACTGGAATCCTTGGGTTCTCTTCCCTTCCAGAGCAGTCTAATTGTGAACCCCAGAGCATCAGAAGCCACTCTCAAACAAACAATACAACGCAACAACAACAAAAAGCCAAGGAAACAAGGTGGACTATATCTTAACCTCTGGCTTTCACATGCACATGTACACACGCGCGCGCGCGTGCACACACACACACACACACACACAGATCATACAAGCAAAACCTAAGGGTTTTGAATGAGATTTGCTATTTGAAACAAAAGTAAATAAACTAAAAATCAAGAAGGATAAATACAACAGAAAATTCTGGACACTTGATCTCGAATCTGTTTGGTCTTCACCCCATAAACAATAGGATTAAGCAAAGGTGGGACAAGTAGGTAAAGGTTAGACAGGAAAATGTGAATGTAAGATGGAATGTGGAAAACAAACCTATGTGTAAAGAAGGAGAAGAAGGCCAGGAGATAAAACTCCAAGAAGACACAAATGTGGGCAATGCATGTGTTAAAGGCTTTGAGTCTTGCTTCCTTTTGAGGCAGCTTGAAGACAGTTATAAATATTCTAATGTAGGAGAGTGTTATGAAAATTATGTCCAGTCCAAGTACACTGAAAGCCACAAAAAGACTATAGATCTTGTTGACCCGAACATCTTCTACTGCCAGCTTGACAATCGCCATGTGCTCACAGTATGAATGTGATACTACTGTGGTCCAGTAAAAATTCAACCTGCATTTGATGAGAATGAGACATGGAGCTACAAAGAGGACAGCTCTGAGTGTGACTCCTACTCCTATTTGAGTGAGGAGTCACTGGGTAAAAATCGATGCATGTCTTAGAGGATCACAGATTGCCACATAACGGTCCATTGTCATAGCAAACAAAATGCCTGACTCAGTACACTGGAATGTGTGAATCAGCCACATCTGCAAGAGGCAGGCGTCAAAGTGTATGTTTGGAAGGTGAAACCAGAATATTCCTAGCATTTTGGGTAAGATGCAAGTACTGAGAGCAATGTCTGTTGCTCCAAGCATTGCTAGGAAGAGGTACATGGGTTCATGGAGGCTTCGCTCAACTTTGATGAAAACTAGGAGCAGAAAATTGCCCAAAAGAGCGATGATGTACATGCCACAGAAAGGAATCCCAACCCAGAACTGCAATGGCTCCAAGCCAGGAATCCCAACAGAGTCAGCATTGAGGGCCTGAAGATGCAGCTATTGAAATGGGGCATGCTGCCTTAGGGACTACAGGCATACGGCTTCTCAATTAGACCATTAGCACGTGCTGGGAATATTTCTTCTGCTTTCAGTTAGATTCACACAGAGACTGAGTGAATTTCACATGGCGGTTTTCAGATATCGACTTTTACTGAGGAGATCCATTCATGTACACCCAAGAGGTCTACATATCTTTTCTAAGTGTGAATGGTTTATTTCAGAGTCCAGTTTTCAGTCTACCTCTCTCACTTTCTTCTCTTTCCATGTCTGTCTCATCACAAACATACATAATAGACATGCACACACTCCAATAAAAGCTTATTAGTTATATTCTAGAAAGAAGAAGACATATTTCTGAATATTTATAAAAAATATTCACATGAAAGTGAGGGTTGGTTTTCTGTGAAATATCTTCTCTGTGATTTAAATATTAAATATCTTCTTTGTTATATCCTTGTCAAGAAGTATTTATCCTCTTATTAGAGAAATCATAGAAGGGCAATGATATATGTTTACTGTTTCAGTAAGTGCTGAATGAAGAATAAATCATGAAGAATCTTGCTATATTTTAATATTTCATGACATGGATATTTGCTTTTTTCATCTCCCCCTCTTAAAGTCCTCTTTTCCCCCACCCTGGTCATTTTACTTTAGTATATAATGCTGAATGAGATGTGCTTAAGTGTTTACAAATATTATTTCATATGTTTCCCATTATTGTGATTATGTTTAGCCTGGAATCTAATATTATTTGTTTCAATATAGTGAGGTAAATTGTCTTCAAATTTCAATCTAGCTCAATTTGGAGATGCACATAGGGTAATTTTTTCTTGGATGAAATGATATCTGCATGGAGGAAATGGAAGGGAGGCATGTAAGTGAAACTCAATCTCACAATGAACAGAAAACTACCATATAGAGATAACATTAACATTACTGGCTCATTATTTCAATATAGAGATAATATTAACATTACTGGCATTTGACTTCAATCATTCTTACATACTTTTAGTCTTTGGAGGAATTTATCTTTTAATATTACATGGTATTTAAAATAAACATATATTTATACTTCCACATACTTTTCTTGTGTTTTACCCAACACAATTGCTTCTTGCTTAACTCCAAGGTCAAACTTTTTTTTCTATGAATTCTCCTCATTTTTAATCAGATGTTAAATTATTAAGAAGCTAGTATTTTTTCGTTTTCTTGCTGATGGAGTTTTTAATAATTGTAATATTTTAGAAACTAGTAAGTCAACTAGAGTTTACCTTCCATCTATTGGTTAAGTTTCAGAATAATATAATTTTTTATGTAGCTGTGCTGTATGCCAGTTGTATACATGCAGGATTAGAAAACGGAAACAATGAAGCTCAAAAATGTTAAAAGTCTTAGTTTCTTGATGTGTAAGTTTCATGGGTTTTATTATTGCCTGCTGTTCCTACAATGACCAAAAGTAGCTTACATACCTCTGTCTGTGAAAGACTAGAAGTAAAGATGGGAGGAATAACTAGTAGATCAAGAGAAAGTCAGTGCTGCGTTTTAACACTCTTCACATCTACGTCAAATGCTGTGGAAATCTTTACTTCCTTTCGATACTGTCTACTCTGAGGTGACATATAATTAGAAGTCTCCTCATGTGTACAGGGTCAATTCCCATAGTCTCTTCACACATTTCCTGAGTATTTCCTTTGGAAGTTCAGAGACACCCATGGGAATACAATTATGTTTAATTTTCCAACTTCATTGTGTGAGTTCACATATTAATACCAGTGTAGCTTTTCAGAGGCAACTGAAGAACAAGGTGCATGTTCAGAATAAAGGAGAGTATGGTACAATTCTCAATGAAGAGATGAGTTACCAAATAATCTTACAATCCCCATTTGTTAACAAATCTCTGTCTTAGCACTTACACAGAACCTGCACACATGAAGTATTACAATGGTCCACAGTACTCCCCTCTTAACCCAAGTGACTCCAGTAATGTTCAGACAGGTTTTGAGGAGCAAACATCAGTCTCAAAACAAGTTGACAAAGAAAGTCCTAGGAATGACATTGAACAAAGGGTACTTTTTGTGGTTTAAATGACTTGCAAAAGTTATTATATCAACACCAGGGAGAAGTCAGGTCCAATTCTAATACCACAGTGCCAATACATTCAGGAAATCTCAATTTAACTTTGCAAAAGTGAGAGTGAGTTCAGCAACTGCTGTGAAAATATCACTGAGACATAGAGCTAAGCCCTTTCACTTTTGCAAATATTCCTTGCAGCCACATTTGCTTTACTCACTAACCGTAATTACTGATATCAACTGAGGAAACACAACTGATAGTCTTAGACTGAGATTTTATGTGGAGTAAAAACACTGTAGTTGGAAATGGGGAAACTCCTTAGAATTAAGGAACTAATACAATCATAGAAGTCAAAGACTGACTTTCCCTCATTTTAATAACTATTGCTTTTATCAAGACAGGGTTTCTCTGGAGCTTTGGAGCCTGTCCGGGAACTAGCTGTGGTAGACCAGGCTGGCCTTGAACTCACAGAGATCTCCTGGCCTCTGCCTCCCATGTGCTAGAATTAAAGGCATGCATCACTCCTGAGCAACACAACTGTTACATTTTTTCAAGACACAAATTGTCAAATACAAAGTGTGATTCATTTTTTAAAAATAGCTTTATTAATTCTTTGAGATTGTATTTTGGTTATATTTATTTGTTTCCCCCATCCTTCCATTGATAGATACACTACCACCATTCCGTACCCATTCAAAGTCTTCATTTTATTCATCCCTTAAATCCCACATAGTCACTTTAGTTCTGACCATTATTCTTAGGTGGGTGACCGCTCATGGGGTTACAACCTTAAAGAAAGCCAACTCTTTCTCTTTGGCAGCCATCAATTGCCACTATAGTGACATCTTAATATCACTGTCTGGTGGCCCGGCCTCAGCAGTATATGGTTCAAAGGAAAGTCACAGAGTCTGTGCTTACTAGACTTTTATATCTGAAGGGGTTAGGAAAAAAAGACACACTTTTTTTCAGTGGATTCCTTTTGTATTCTCTATTCTTCCACTGTATTCTTTTTCTGCAGTTTCTATACCCCAGCAAAATCTTTCAGGCAATATAAGAATCACAGTGTGGTTACATTCTAATTTTCAAGTGAATGAATGTAAGTAAAAAAAATCGTGTTTTCCATATTCCTTATGTGATTAAACATTTTATGAATTACAGGTGAAAAACAAATTATCCCAAGAATTCACATATGGTGTGAGAAGTCCTTCTTTCTATGTGTTGCTTTTATTGGTTAATGAATAAAGAACTGCTTTGAGACTATGACAAGGAAAAACAGAACTAGGCAGGGGAAACTAGGCTGTATGCTGGGAGGAAGAAGGGCAGAGTCAGAGAGAAGCCATGGAGCTGCTGCCAGAGTCAGACATGACAAAATTTTGCCAGTAAGCCACTGCCACGTGGTTTACACAGATTAATGGAGATGAGTTAAATTAATATAAGAGTTAGCCAATAAGATGCGGAGCTAATGGGCCAAGCAGTGATTTAATTAATATGGTTTCTGTGTGGTTATTTCAGGTCTAAGCTAGCTGGGTGGCCAGGAACCAACAAGCAGCCTCCCTCTACACACACATTTCTAGCCAAGCAACTTGTTATGAGTTAATCATTTAGGCAAGCTAGTCTCAGTCAGGTATTTTACTGCATTTTGCAGTTATAAAGAAAAGAACCAATTACTTTATTACTTATCTTAAAAAATAATCCTATAAGGAATCTTAAAGGAGTCACACAGTCAAACTTTTATATATGAAAAAGAATCACTCAGCTCTACTCTAAATCTTTAGGGTGCTTTCCCACTCACCGGTAGTATTTTTGTATCAGGAGACTGAGGGCAGAAATGGTTATAAGGAGTTAGTTATTGCCTTTGGTAACTAACCAACCATGGTAAGAAAAGTAGGTCAGTACCAATTGGACTGCTTTGTATTTGTTCGCTGACCTTGAGTTAGTTTGACAAATACAATGCTACTTGACAAAACGTCTTTGTCTAACTTTAAGTTATTTTCAAAGCTTAGTTTCAATTGCAATGTACTCCAGAACCTGTGAACACATCTCCCAAGATTAAGGCTAAAAGAATTTAGACTAGTTGGGCTACTGGGACTTAACTGTTTTGCTTGATCATTACCATAACATAAAGCACAGTCTATATGACTCCTCAATAGAAACTCATGCGTTCTAGCTGTGTAACTTTTCCTTGCTTTATTTTTTGTCATCAAATCTCTAAACAAATGAAAGTTATTATTATTGTTATTATTATTATTAATTATACAGTACAGTTTAAGAAGATATCATATTCATAATCATCTACAGGTAAAAATCCCAGTAGAATAGGATGTTTCCACGTGATAAACACACCACATTACAGGCAGTGGGGATCTCCTCAAACCCATTTACACCATGCCAGAAGCCAGAAACAGCAACAACAAAGATATAAAGGCACAGCATAAGCAAAAGACATTCTGGAGTCTGTGGTCTTGGGGCTTTGTCTATCCGTGATTCACCCATCAGGGATTCTCCTCCTGGTGGGATGACACCCTGAAGTCAGCTGCCACCTGCTGCTCTTCTGTGTCAGAGCCTTGTAGGGCCTGGCATCTTACTACTCAAATTCTTGCATCAATTTCCAAGTAGTCATGTGAGGTCACATGACCTCACAAAGTGAAGGCTTCTCATTATATTATGGCTGTGGGGTGCTAAAGCAGTAGAAACTCCCTAATGAATCAGATCTGACTTCTTGCTTGCCATGATCTAAGCTATTTACCAAAGGACATGTCACTGGAACATTTTGTGTAATAGTAAAGATTTTGGCCAAGAATCTCATATAATAAAATAGTCATTATGTCACATATCAGATAACAATATCTTTCCTTGTTGCTCATTTGCCAGTCTGTAGTGATAACCACTCTACTATTTCCGAATATAAGTGATATCACAGAACAGCTGTTTTTCTTTTTCT